ATGCTGGGATTATGGACCTACATCATGATGCCTGGCTCCCATATACTTCTGGTCATCTCTAGATTACTTATAATCTCCAGTACAATGTAATGGCATGTAAGCAATTGTTATATTATATTGGCAAGGGAATAGTTGCTCAGTTTCCTGCAATTTGTTATTATTTTATGTGCATGGGTGTTTTGCCTGCAGGTAGGTCTGTACATCCTATGTGTATAGTGCTCACAGAGGCCAGAAAAAGGTATCAGATTCCCTGGGACTGGAGTCACTGACAATTGTGAGCAAATATGCAGATGCTAGAAATTGAACCAAGGTCCTCTGAAAGAGCAATCTTAACAGGGAGCCATCTCTCCAGCCCTCTACCATGCATGCACACGCCTCTCTCTCTCTCTCTCTCTCTCTCTCTCTCTCTCTCTCTCTCTCTCTCTCTCTCTAGACAGGGTCTCATGTAGTTCTGGCTGGCTTGGAACTCACTATGTAGACCAGGCTAGTCTTGAACTCATAGAGCTCTGCCTGCCCCTGCCTCACACGTGCTGGGATTGGTGGAATGCACCATCACACTCAGTTCACCTGCAATTTTTTTAAAATATATTTTTTGAGAGGCTGGAGTGATAGCTCAGTGATTAAGAGTACTTACTGCCCATCCACAGGACCTGGGTTTGATTCCTAGCACCTCATATGGACCTATATAGTGGTTCACAAATATCTGTAACTCCAGTTGCAGGGAATTTGATGACCTCTTCTGGATTCCTCAGGAGCCAAGCACAAATATGGTGGTACATAAACACGCATGCAGGAAAAACACTAATGCACATAAAATAAAAATTTTTGAAAGAAAAAATATTTTTGAAGAAATTATAAATGTAACACTCTGGATTCAGAAGGCTAACTATATGTGTGACTTCTAGAGGTCTCTGAGATCCATCTTTCTGCAACATAGACTTGGAAAGACCCAACACTCCTGTCCCCCAGTCTTGGTAAAATGGTATTGCCTAGCTCAGAGTTATGAAGGCTCCTCCCATCCAGCCCTTTGATTCTGGTGCAGTTGGTTCAGCCCCACTCACGTTACCATAGCCTTGAACAAAGACTAAAATGGTTGGATTCATTTTAGCTTTGACAATAGCATTGACTCAGTATTTCATCTGGCCCTCCGAGGACATTGGGCATAGCTCATATGTCATGTAGAAATGACCTTAGGGGAGTGTGTCCATGCAAAATAGATGCCTACATGCCCTGACCCACCTACAGTGTCACCTAGTATAAACATACAAAGTCTTGTCTGTTCTTAATGTCAACAGTTCAAGGTGTACTTTCATTTCCTTTATTCTTTTTCTTTAGACAGGGCCTCACTATATAGCCCTGGCTGTCCTGGAACTCACTCTGTAGACCAGGCTGGCCTTGGACTCACAGAGATCCACCTGCCTCTACCTCCATCAGTTCCGGGATTAAAGGCATGCACCACGACACCCAGCCTCATTTTCCTTCATTCTTAATGGACTAATTATAACCTCCATTTAAAGAGGTGAAGTAAGGGTTGTATCACAAGAGGAATTTGTGATACTTGGAACCAAGGAGTTTCTAGAATTGAGCCCTGTCTGGGAAGAGATGACCATCTTTCCTCCATTCTCCAGCTGTAGGAGTTACAGAAAGGAAGCATCTTAATACAAACGTGAACACCTGCTTATTAGAGTCAAATTGTAGTAAAGACAGGTTGTAATTTTCTAAATCAATTTATTTGAAGCCCTCCTGGAGCTGTCTGTGTTGACACAGGTGGATGTGGAACATGAGAGCTCCGTGAGTCGAGACATTTCTAAATCCTACCTCGTGCCTTTTTCTGTAAAAGCCATCCATTCCCCTAAGTGCTGGCCCACAGCATCATGGAGCATCTATTTAGCACCTTTCCTCACAGAAGGTCTTCCTTTCATTTCTATTATTGTGATAAAATATCCTGACAGAAAGCAATTTAGGGGAGAAAGGTTTATCTTAGCTTATAGTTCCAGTTTATAATCCATTACTTTAGGGAAGTCACAGTGGCAAGAGCCTGAAACAGCCGGTCACCTCAACAGTCAAGAGCAGAGAGAAATAAAGACACACGCTATCGCTCAGCTTGCTCCCTCTACTCTTACACAGTCCCGGGCCCCAAACCTGCTAATGGCACTGCTTATGTTCAGATGAGGTCTTTCTGCACCAGTTAAGGCAATCAAGATAATCACCCACAAAGATGCCCACAGGACGACCTAAGGTAATTAACCAAATGCTAGGTGGTGACGGTGCACACCTTTGATCCCAGCACTCGGAAGGCAGAGGGAGGAGAATCTCTGTGAGTTCAGGGACGGCATGGTCTAGAGTGAGTTCCAGGATAGCCATGACTACACAGAGAAACCCTGTCTCAAACCCCCCTACAAACAAACATGCCCACAGGATAACCTGATCCAGACAGTCCCTCACTGAGACTGTCTTCCAGGTGTCTCTAGGTTGTGTCAAGTAGACAATCAAACTAACCATCCCAGGACGTCAGCACTATTATGGCTACACAGTTATTCAGACATCAAGACACTTTGGCATGCTGTCACGGTAGTTCCTGTCACTCCGGCTACTCATGGGAGGTCAGGGAAGGAGGCTCCTAAATCAGGGCCAGCTGGGCAACTTAACAAGACTCTGTCTCAAAATAATTTAAAAGGGCTGAGGACATAGCCCTGCAGTTGAGTATCTATTAGCACGCAGAAGGCCCTGTGATCGAGGTATACTACCTTCACCCTCAGTCCTTACCAGCTGAGCAAAAGCTACTTGCCTGAGTCCTGCCCTCAACCACAGTTTCTCAGGCCTCACGTCACCAAAGTCCAGGACCCGAAGGCTGATACTTGGTCCAGCCCTCCAGAAAACTGCTTGCGCCCACAGAGGGGCTTGATTCTAGATGGTAAATTTTGTCCTGGGCCCGGGAAGTATTTTTAATTTTCCTCTGAATTCAGAGTGTCTTATTGCTCCCAAGTCTCCTGAACTCGACCTATGTGTTTCCTATCTCTTCTTGATTCTCATCCTGAAATTCTACTCCCAGCCCCATCAACATCTCATCTCTTTATGAAGACTCACACGCAAGCAAGTTGAGAGCACCTTTAGCCATGAAAATGGAAAACTGGAATCAAAATAAGGCGCCACAGGCCACGCTGTGCTGTACCCACTTGAGAGCAGAACATGCATTTATGAGAAATGTTCCCCCTCTCTCCCTTCCTTCCTCCATCTCTCTATCCCTCCCTCAGACACAGGCTTTCTGATCTCATGATGGAATTCATGGGGACCAGACAGGAAAGGACTGTTGCCAGAGCCCCAGGGGAGCCCATAAATCAGGTCTGTGGGTAAGAAACATCGGCCTCCTGCCTGGCCCCTAGCCTTCCAGGAATCCGTGAATGTGTGGCTTATGCTCTGAGCTTAGGCTGTGCTTCGGCTAGATCTAGCAAGGAGGAAGCCTGGGCCTGGCTGAGCCATGCCAAGGGAAAAGAAACACAGAACCCACTCTTCTCCTCCTGGGCATGGCTTTGAAGGCCAGCCTTGTGTAGAGGCTCTGTGTGGTGAGGTCATAGTGGACCTAGAGAACCAAGGAGATTGGAAAATGGTGGCCCTGACCCCTGATGCCTTCTGATTCTTTTCTCCTAGTAGAGGTCAAAGGGCGTCTTACTTGGAAAGAGTGTGCTCTGTGACTTCCCAGTTGTATCCCAACCGCCTGCTGCTGCTGCTTCTCTCCCAGCTTCCCCCAGCAAGCCCAGAGCCTGGCCCGCCAGCGGCTGCCTCTCTGCCCTGCCAGCCCTCACTTCTCTCCAGTCTTCCCCAAGAGGTCAAGTGGCAAGAACTGCAGGGCTTCCAAAACTTCTCAAATTATGGTAATTCATCAGATCCCATGTCTCACAGTGTTCAGACATCTTGAGACCTTGGACAGCCACTTCCTTGCTATTCGTGAGTGAAAACAGAAAGGAAGCCAAGACAAAACAGATTCTGAAATGAAGGTCTTTACATTTTTTATCACATTTACTTAGTATCTGTGTATGTGTGCGCACACAGGTGTGTGGCCGGGCAAGGGTGTGCCATAACTCAGGTATGCGAAGATCAGAAGACAATTTTGGGGAATCCATTCTCTGATTCTACAATATGGATTGACATCCACAGTTTTGTTTTGAGTTTAAATTCTTACAAATCCTTTTAGCCATGTCATAGGTATTAACATTTTAAGTAAAATGGCTATGGTGCGAAACTAGTGGGCTCCCAATACAGTGGTGAACTTAAAGCCACTACTAGCCATTTTTTTTAACATACAAGAACAGGATATTTTTCAGCAGTTTGGAATTAGACATAGTTCCCTCTCAGTCCTTGAATCCTTACTGCAAGACTACGGCCTGAAACTGCAAGAGCCAGGGCCCTAGGGTCTTTCTGTTCAGAGTCCTCATACATGTACAGCAGATACTCCTGGAGGGTTTTACTTCCCTGATGAATGGGGCTCAGCACTCTCCGCTCTTACAGAAGACCCAGGTTCGGTTCCCATCGCCTCCGTGGCAGCTCATAACCAACCACCTGTAGCTCCAGTTCCAGAGGATCCCATGCCCACTTCTGTCCTCTATGGGCACCACACACACATAGAACATGTCAACACATGCACATAAAATGCTGGATAAATAATAAAAATAAATAAATCTTTGTTTAAAGATTCAGAAATTTAAAGGGACTGTGTTATCTGTTTTTTCCCTACTTATAATTATGGCAAAATATACATAACATAAAATTTACCAGGATGGATTAGAGATTCAGTAAAAAGTAAAAGCAACCTGGCTTTTTTTACCACCACTGGGCATCCCTTTTTCCCACAGGGTCTCATTGTGTAGCCCTGACTGCCTAAACTTACTATGCAGACCAAGTTGGTCTCCAACTCACAGAGGCCTACCTGCCTGCCCCGCCCCGCCCCGCCCCGCCCCACCCCTGCCCCCTGGTGCTGGGACTAAAGGCATGTGCCATCACACCCAGCTGAACAGAATCTATTTACTTGGCATGACATGCCAGGATTTTTGTTAGCTCTCTCTCTGTGCTCCCCAACCCCATGGCTGCCCTGTCGTCTGCTCTCTGGCACATCATCCTCTGGCCATGCCCATGAAGTCCCCCTCTCCACATGCCTCAGTGGGCAACCTTCTCTAGAGAAATGTTGAACAGTTTTGATGGCTTTTCCAAAGCCCTTTCTTTGCAATGTCTCTTTCCTCACTTCCTTTCTTAGAGCCCCCTTCTTCTTTCTCTTTGTTCACACTTCTTTGTCTTCTCCTCGCTTATACAGCCCGTCTCTCTCTGTGCACAAGATTTTATGGGGTTGCCCTAACCCCTTCTCCAAAAGACTCCACTCTCTGAGCACAGGCCAGGCCTTATTCAGGTCTGTTTCTCCCAGGGGTCCCAACAGTGTGGAGATTAATGTGGAGATGTTGGGTAGAAGCTGGAGAAGGCACAGAGGTGTGCGGGTTTGGGGGGGGGCGGGGGCTGTGGCCAGGCCAAGCCGAGGGAACCAGGCTGGCAGCTGGTGTGTGACATATGCACGCACAAACGAGGAAATGCATGAATGGGCGACTGTGAACAGCTCCAGTGTTAACTAGGTAGTGAGTGAGTGAGGGCTTGTATAAGGCAAGTCTCCTGTGAGAGCAGGTATGAAAGGGAGCTTGTTCAGGGGACTGGGGACATCTTTGAGATGGTTGGCACAGGTCTCCGAGACTGGTCAGAGGCACGCCAGGAATGTACAAAAATGTTTCTGGTCCCTCAACATTTGGACAGTCTGAGACCATTTCCTCAGGCTGGCTGTGCCCTTTATGAAATCCTCGTTTCAAATCCTGTCGTTATTTTTCTTCCCACTCAGAGAGCTGAGCTTTCCACATCCCTTTCAAGGAATGAGAATTTAACAAGATAAACAGTCCCATTAACAAGTAGGTCACCACACTATGTATGTGGCCCAGGTGTTCTTGAAAAATAAATTATGACTTTTCTGTTTTGCAGTTTTAAAAAATATTTTATTAGCATATATTAATTATATACAGTAATATATTTCAATATGCTATTTTCATACATTTACCCTATGCATTTCTTTCTTTCCTTTTTTTTCAAAGCAGGGTTTCTCTGGCTCTGGCCATACTGGAACTCACTCTGTAGACCAGCCTGGCCTCAAACTCAGCGATCAACCGATCAATCGGGCCTGCCTCTGTCTCCTGAGTGCTAGCATCAAGGGACTGTGCCACCACCGCCTGGTTCCTAATGCATTTCAATTGCATTTACTCCTCTTAACCCTCTCTGGTCCCACTGAAAACTTGGTTTTGTACTCATTTTTGGAATGACCTGAGGCACGGAAAGACCCTTGGGTACTTAGGGTGTGTAGCTTTGAGGGCTCCCTTACAACAACACAGATTCCCCTCCCAATGATTCAAGCCGAGTTTTTTGTTTGTTTGTTTGTTTGGTTGGTTGGTTGGTTGGTTTTTCGAGACAGGGTTTCTCTGTGTAGCTTTGTGCCTTTTCCTGGAACTCACTTGGTAGCCCAGGCTGGCCTCGAACTCACAGAGATCCGCCTGGCTCTGCCTCCCGAGTGCTGGGATTAAAGGCGTGCACCACCACTGCCCGGCTCAAGCCAAGTTTTAAATGGAGTTGTTACTGGTGTGGGACAGCTTTATACATTTTCGCTGAGAAGGTCTGGGTCCTCAGGCTGTCCTCCAACTCGCTGTGTAGCTGAGGATGGCCTTGAATTTCTGTTCCTCTTGTCTCTGACTCCCAAGTGCTCAGATTACTGGTGTGTGCAACCACATTCAGTTTTATGCAGTGCTGGGATCAAACCCAGGACTTTATGCATGCTAGGTAAATGTTCTACCTACTGAGCTACATTGCTAGTCCCTGCTTTGAACTTTTTTTTATTTTTAAAATTTTATTTATTTATATTTTATGTATGAGTGCTATTAATGTATGTATGTATGCCACAAGAGGGCATCAGATCCTATTATAGATGGTTGTGAGCCCCCATGTGGTTGCTGGCAATTGAACTCAGAACCTCTGGAAGAGCAGCCAGTGCCCTTGACCCCTGAGCCATCTCTCCAGCCCCCTTGTTTATTTTAATTTAATTTTAGAAATAGGGTCTCATCATGTGGCACAGTCTAGTCTTGAGCCTGGTGCTCCTCTGGTTTCTACCTCCCAAATGCTGGCATTACAGATGTACACTATCATACCTGGCATGACCTCCATTTTAAAGATATTTACCAAAAGATCTCTGAATGGGCTGCTCAACAGAGGATAAAAATGGAAAAGAAAAATATCCAACATTCTTACCTTATGTTTAATGCCCAAATCACCTCATGAAGCCCTATCTTAGTTCCAGTTTCTATGCTGTGAAGAGACACCATGACCATGGCAACTGTTATAAAGAAAAACATTTAACTGGGGCTGGTTTACAGTTCAGAGGTTTAGTTCATTATCATGGCAGGAAGCATGGCGGCACACAGGTAGACACGGTGCTGGAGGTGAGAGGTTTTACATCTTGATCCAAAAGCAACAGAAAGTGAACTGAGATACTGGGTGTGGTTTGAGCATACATGAGACCTCAAAGCCTGCTTCCATAGTGACACACTTCCTCCAACAAAGCCATATCCCTAACAGTGCCACTCCCTTTGGGAGCCATTTTCTTGGGAACCACCACATCCCACTCCCTGCCCCCCCATAAGCTTTTGATATCATAATGCAAAATGTATTCAGTTCAACTACAAAACTCTTCATAGTCTATCACAATTCCCAACTTATTTAAAAGTCTAAAGTTCAAAGTCTCTTCTAAGATTCATGAAATCTAAGATTCATGAAACTGTAATCACCTGTAAAATAAAAATAAAAACCAGATCACACACTTCCAACGTACAATGGTATAGAATGTACATTATCATTCCAAAATGCAGAGAAGGGAGCATAGTAAGGAAATACTGGGCCAAAGCAAGACTGAAAACAAGCTGGGGCAAACTCCAAACTCTGCATCTCCATGTCTGATGTCAAAACACTCTTTCAGATCTCCAATTTTGTTCAGCTTTGTTGACTACAACACACTTCTTTCTCTTAGGCTGGTTCTACCCCCTCTTAGCAGCTCTCTTCAGCAGGTATCTTGTAACTCTGGCATCTCTAACATCTTGGGGTCTCCAAGGCAATCCAGGCTTCAACTTCATAACTTCACACAATGGCCTCGCTAGGCCTCCATTCAGGGACACCCCTGACACATGCCTGGCCTCAGCAGCTTTCCTTAGTTACTCCTTGACTCTAAAGCCAGAACCATATGGCCGAAGGTACCAAGTTCTACTGCTTGCTGGGGCTGGAATATGGTCCCCTTGTTCAATTACATCTGTAAGAATTCTGTTCTTAATTATGTGTCATCAGCCTGCGACAGCATCCCAGCCTAAAAAGCAGGTGGGCCCTCTGTGCGCCCCTCTCTTTCCTTTCTGCTCCTTCCTTCCATCTACCCCCCCTCTCCCT